TGGATGGAAGGAAGGAGGGAAGGAAAGAGGGATGGTGAGATGAAAGGAAGGAAAGGGAGAGAGTGAAAGATAAAAAGAAAGAAAAAAGGAAAGAGAAGAAAGAAAGAAAGAAAGAAAAAAAAAGAAAAGAAGAAAGAGTCAATCAGTGGAAGCTGGTCAGAGACAGATCCAATCTAGAACTAAGGAGAAATTTCTTGAGAGAAAATTAAGCAAAGGAACTGCTTGTCTGCTGAAGTTGTCGATGCTCCATCACTGTCTGGGATGGATTAAGGACTGCAGGGGGTTGGACTAGAAGACCTCTTAAAGGTCCCTCCAGCCCTAGGAGTCTATGAATTCCATAAGCCAGTCCCGGATTCCAACTACCATCAACGCTGTGGATGGAGCAGGAAAGGAGTAGATGAAAAGATGGTGCAGGTTTCTTTTTTTTTCCTGCTCCTACGCCTTTCTTTCGCTGGGAATTCACTCTGGCTTCGAGGGGAAAAAACAAAACCTATTTATTACCTCCTTCAGATTTAATTGAGGGTTAATTTTGATTTGCTCAGGGATAAGCAATTCCCAGGTTAGAATCTTTTTGAGCTTCTGGCTAAATATTCAAGGCTGTTAATCAGGATGCAGGGATTCACATCCCGTCTTTTCCCCCCAGTCTCGCTTTCCCATGGACTACTAAACCATCGTGCTTATTTTTTGTTTTAATTTAGTTACTTAATTAAAAAACCCTTTTTAGTATTGTCTCTCAACCTTGGCAAGTTTAAGACAGGTGGACTCCCAACTCCCGAAATTCTAGTTCCCACCATCATCAAGTTATCCTTTCTTGTGTTGGGAATGACTGGTTCTTCTTGTTTGATGTCCATCTTTTGACACAACCTGGGTAACATTCCGGTGACGTAAGGGCCGGTCTTGGTATACGAGTCTTTCTTGGTGATAACCATCTTCCAGGATCCACTGTTTGTGTTCCTGGCTTTGATCATTGGGAGAGAAAAAACTAAAATTAAAGCACGACGATGTCAGCCAACTAAGCTGCTTTAACCTGCATTGTTTATTTGTCACCTTTACCTTGTCCAGGAGAACAAATTGTTCCCGTGTAGACCAACAGAGGCGAATACGATCAGGACATGACAGCTCTTTTCACTTCTTTTTTCCTTTTTTCTTTTTTTTATACAGCACTTGTATTACAGGGCTTATTGTCCATTCTCTTTTCTTTTTCTTAAAATTCGCAAAAGAGAGGAGAGAGAAAGGATCTATTTATTTCTTTCCGATCCTTTAATCAATCTTGGGTAATTTCTTTCATTTTTAAAATTTTCCAAATTATTTTCCAAGTAGTTTTATTCAAAAGTCACTTTTATATTCGGGATTTTGTCCCTTTAAAATTACGCTTCAACATCCTCTTTTCTTCCCCCCATGCTCATTAGCCGCTGTTTTTTCGCTAGGGGTCTTCAGGTTTAATTTTTTTTTTTTAATTGTGAGTTGGCTGTCACCCACCCGGCTTCAAAAACTCTGTTCCATTCACCGCTCCTGCTCAATGCTTAGTCCCGTTGCCCCGCTTCGTGACAGCCGCAATGACTGCCGCCCCCCACCGCCAAGTCGTAGAGAGCTTCCTCTGACCTTCGAGTAACTTGCCTGTTCCTCTTGGTCTTCTGAGGTACCTCCCCTTCATCCCCATCCCTACAGGAAGGTTCGAAGACCCCTTGGTGACGGTTCGTCAATCTGGGTTTTTGAGGAGCTAATCGGAGCCCGCTAATTCCCTGACTGTCTCGCCGCGATGCTTCCGGTTGAATCCTGTTCACATTTAACATTGATCACATGTAAAGAAGGTGTTGAGACTCTGGAAAGGGTGCGGAGAAGAGCAACGAAGATGATTAGGGACTGGAAGCTATAAAGCAGACGAAAAACGATTGCTGGAATTGGGTATGTCTAGATTAATGATAAGAAGGACCAAGGGGGACATAATAGCATCTTCCAGTATTTTTGAGGGGCTGCTCCAAAGAAGAGGGGGGGGAGTCAATCTGTTCTCCAAAGCACCAGAAGGCTGGACAGGAAGCAAGGAATGGAAATTAATCAAGGAGAGAAGCAGCCAGGAATTAAGGAGAAGTTTCCTGACAGTGAGAACAATTGATCAGTGGAACAACTTGCCACCAGAAGTTGTGGGGGCTCCAATAATGGAGTTTTCAAGAAGAGATTGAACATTTGTCAGGAATGATATAAGTCTCCCACTTGTGCAGAAGGTTGGAGCAGAAGACCTCCAAGGTCCCTTACAACTCTTATTCTATTATTCTAGAGAAGGAAGAAAAGAAGGAAGGGAGGGAGGGAGGGGAGGGAGGGAGTGAGGAATTAGGAAGCAAGAGTGAGGGAGGAGATGGGAATGAGAGGAAGAAAGGAGGGAGGGACGGAGGGAGGAAGGAAGGAAGCTGTGGTGGAGCTGCGGTTAGAATGCAGTATTACAGGCTGACTCTGCCAACAGCCAGCAAGTTCAGTCCTGACCAGCTCAAGATTGACTCAGCCTCCCATCCTTGAGGTGTCAGTGAAATGAGGACCCAGAATGTTGGGGGAAAGAGGCTGACTCTGTAAACCGCTTAGAGAGCGCTGTAAAAGCCCTGTGAAGCGGTATATAAGTCTTAAGTGCTATTGCTTAGGGAGGGAGGGAGGGAGGGAGGAAGAAAGGGAGGGAGGAAGCAGGGAGGGAGGGAGGAAGGAAGGAAGCAGGGAGGGAGGAAGGAAGGAAGGAAGAAAGCAGGGAGGGAGGAAGGAAGGAAGGAAGCAGGGAGGGAGGAAGGAAGGAAGGAAGGAAGCAGGGAGGGAGGGAGGGAGGAAGCAGGGAGGGAGGGAGGAAAGAAGGAAGGAAGGAAGGAAGCAGGGAGGGAGGAAGGAAGGAAGCAGGGAGGAAGGAAGGAAGGAAGGAAGCAGGGAGGGAAGAAGGAAGGAAGGAAGCGAGGGAGGGAGGGAGGAAGGAAACAGGAAGGGAGGAAGGAAGGAAGGAAGCAGGGAGGGAGGGAGGAAGGAAGGAAGGAAACAGGGAGGGAGGGAGGTAGGAAGGAAGGAAGAAAGGAAGGAAGCAGGGAGGGAGGAAGGAAGGAAGGAAGAAAGCAGGGAGGGAGGAAGGAAGGAAGGAAGAAAGGAAGGAAGCAGGGAGGGAGGAAGGAAGGAAGCAGTGAGGGAGGGAGGAAGGAAGGAAGGAAGCAGGGAGGGAGGAAGGAAGGAAGCAGGGAGGGAGGGAAGAAGGAAGGAAGCAGGGAGGGAGGAAGGAAGGAAGCAGGGAGGAAGGAAGAAAGGAAGGAAGGAAGCAGGGAGGGAAGAAGGAAGGAAGGAAGCGAGGGAGGGAGGGAGGAAGGAAACAGGGAGGGAGGGAGGAAGGAAGAAAGGAAGGAAGCAGGGAGGGAGGAAGGAAGGAAGGAAGGAAGAAAGGAAGGAAACAGAGGAAGGAAGGAAGGAAGGAAGGAAGGAAAGAAGGAAGGAAGGAAGCTAGCTGTGGTGGTGCAGTGGTTAGAATGCAGTATTGCAGGCTGACTCTCAAGGTTGACTCAGCCTTCTAAGGTTGGTCAAATGAGGACCTGGGCTGTTTGGGGGAAAATGCTGACTCTGAAACCCTCTCAGAGAGGGCTGTAAAAGCCCTGGGAAGCTACAAAGGTGCACGTCACTCAACCCATGCCTTGTCTCCCGCATCATCCAAAGGCCTCCGTTGTCGGGCACCTCTGCGCATTAAGAAGGCCACAGTTGTGAAAAGAAGGCAGCACAAAATCCTGCCAACTTTTTCAGTCTGTGCCAGACACACAAACGAAACAAAGGGAGTCATTTCTCCATCGTTAGCCTGGCGGGCAAGGAAGACATTAAAGCAGCCTCCCTTAGTCAGCCAGTCATTACCAAACCCATGTTCACAACTCTTTCACAACATTTCTTCAAAGTGGTGAGGCCATACGCCTGGTGCAAACATGGAAACCGTTCGTTGTTTCCTAACTGGTTTTGAAGCCTGTTTAGTCCAAATCAGTCAATAAAGCCCATAAGACAGCATCTGTTTTGACGGTGGATAAATTATCAGCCAGCATTAACAGAGAGATACAATCAAGATCAAGGGGGTACTAATACCACTCTATAAAGCCTTAGTAAGGCCACACGTGGAATCCGGCATCCAGTTTTGGTCCCCACACTATAAAAAAGATGTTGAGACTCTAGAAAGAGTGCAGAGAAGAGCAACCAGGATGATGATGGAACCGGAGGATAAAACATACGATGAACGGTTGCAGGAACTGGGCATGGCTGGTCTAGGGAAGAGAAGGACCAGGGTAGACAGGAGAGCACAGTGATGGCTAACCTTTTTGCCATCGCGTGCCAGGAAGGGGAGGCGGGGGAGGTTCACGAGCGTGCACGTGCCCACAACCATAATTCTATGCACCCCACCCTGCGCATGAATGCATGACCCCCCTCCCCGCCCCCCGCTCCTGTCATACAATGGCCCGGTAGGCCCATTTTTCTTTCTCACTTGGCTCCAGATCCTCTCTATGCATCTGGGGAGGGCAAAAACAGCCTTCCCCACCCCCTCGGAGGCCCAAAATGGCTCGTTTCCCAACTTCCGGTTGGGCAGGAAGTGACATTTTTTGTTGTCCCCAGCCTCCAGAGACTCCTAGTGAGGCTGAGCTGGCGTGCCAGGTGACATGACTCCATGTGCCACCTGTGGCACGCGTGCCATAGGTTCGCCATCACGGGGATAGCATCTTCCAATAATTTGAGGGGCTGCTACAGAGAGGAGGAAGGGGGTCAAGCTGTTTTCCAAAGCACCCGAAGGTAGACAAGGAACAATGGATGGAAACTGACCAAGGAGAGATTCAACCTGGAATTAAGGAGGAATTTCCTGACAGTGAGAAACAATCGACCCATGGGACAGAAGTTGCCTTTGGAAGTTGTGGGAGCTTCATCCCTGGAGGCTTTCAAGAAGAGACTGGACTGCCATCGGTCAGAAATAGTGTAGGGTCTCCTGCTCGGGCAGAGGGTTGGACTAGATGACCTCCAACTCTGTTAATCTATACATTTTATTGTCGCTTGAAAGTGGATCAGTTCTATATGTTAATGTTGCTTGAACACAGAGAAGTTATAAATTTGATTTATTTAAAGTTCGAAATCAAAGCAACGGTTCAACGGCGCTAAGAATTTCCTTGCAGAGAGGAAAGATTGGCCATCTGAAGCCACACGGGTCAGCTAAGAGGTTGCTCCAGAGTAAGAATTCCTTTACCTGCAAAAAAAAAAGAGTATCAAAATAGGAGCCTTGGTAGTACAGTGGTCTAAAGCACCCTGTTATTAAGACCAGCTGCCTGCAATTACTGCTGGTTCGAATCCTACCAGGCTCAAGGTCGACTCAGCCTTCCATCCTTTCTAAGGTGGGTAAAATGAGGAGCCGGTTTGTGGGGGCAATAAGCTGACTTTGTATAAAAAATATACAAAAGGATGAAGGCTATTGCTTAGCGCATTGTAAGCCACCCTGAGTCTCCGGAGAAGGGCGGCAGATAAATCAAATAAAAAATAAAATAAAATAATTCTGACTGCCAGCTCTAAAATAAATAAAGGAAGAAAAAGGAATTGATTCTTGAGCGCTCCGATTAAAAAATACAGCCAGGATAGCAACCGGTTGAGTGAAGAGCCCCAGTTTTTATTTGGGCACTGCCAGAAAGTAATTAAAGCAATTTATGAGGGCTGCCCATCGCACACCGTGACTCTGGGCAGCAAACAGGAAATTAAAACCCAAAGCAAGGCAAACAACACAATTAATGGCAATGAGATTTCAACCACAATCTGTCAATCTGTCTTGAGGCGGAGAGCCAAACCATCGTTTCATTTTGCAGTCGAGGAAAGACGAGCATGAGAAAAACAGGGCTGCCTAACCTCCCAACCCAGAGATGGAGCCCCTTTGGGACAGCCATGAGCTGAATGACTGAGAATCTCTACGGACTTTTAGCTATCCAATTTGGGATGAGCCCCCTTGGAATGGTGTGGGAGTAGGGATGGATTTCCAGAGGGAAAAAAATTGCAGGTTACAGGAACTGTTTGCACCACTCAGGTGACCCTGAGGACACAGAGAAACCTCCAAGTGGCCTCCAAAGTCCCTCTAGGTAAAGGTAAAAGTTCCCCTCGCACACCTGTCCTAGTCGTTCCCGACTCTAGGGGGCGGTGCTCATCTCTGATCATGTGGCCGGCATGATTCAACGCCAAAGGCGCACAGAACACTGTTCCCTTCCCACCAAAGGTGGTCCCTATTTTCCTACTTTTTTACGTGCTTTCGAACTGCTAGGTTGGCAGAAGCTGGGACAAGTCACGGGAGCTCACCCCGTTCCGCGGCACTCGGGATTCGAACCGCTGAACTGCCGACTTTTCGATCGACAAGCTCAGCATCTTAGCCACTGAGCCACTTAAAGACCGTCTAAAAGGATGCAAATGACCAGCTGTCTACAAGGAGTATCGATCCTTCCATTCCCCACCATCCTAGCCTAAATGGTTTTTCATTGGGATTTTAAATTTTATGGATTTGGGGGTTTAAAATTGGGAAGCTAATGATTTAATTCTTTTTAATTATCTTAACTTTTGTATTTATATGTTTTTTTAATTTTGGCTGTTCACCGCCCTGAGTCCCCTCTGGGAGAAGGGCGGTATACAAATTAAATAAATAAATAAATAAATAAATAATAAAATCCAGTCAGAGCTGAAGAAGCTTCTTGGCTCTCTAAAGGAATGTCCTTTAACAAATGTCTCACTTAACAACATGCATTTTGGGTTCAATTGTAAGTCGAAGGCTACCTGTATAGGATACCTCTCTAAATCAACTCACCAGACGTAACCGCTGCGGGAGGAAAGGTGAGAAAATGGGGCAAAACTCACTGAACAAATGTCTCACTTTAACAAAACAGAAATTTCGGAGTCAATGGTGGTCATAAGTCGAGGACTACCTGTACTGCAGTTATTAAATAAGTCACACCGGTCCTTAGGTTCCCCCAGAGTCTTTGCTTGTCAGAAGCCAGCTGGGAAGTTTGCAGTAGTGATCATCATATGATCCCAGGAAGATGGAACTGTCATAAATTCATTTTCCACCACTTCTACTGTTAACTTCTACTGTAAATGCATGCCAAACCGTTGGATTTTGATCATGGGACATTTCCTTGGGGAAATGCTGTGACGGTCATAAGTGCGAGCACCATTTGTTGAGAAGTTATTTTTCAGTGCTGTTGTAATTTCAAATGGTGGCTAAAGGAACATTTCTAATTCAAGGACTGTCTGTCTTAGGAAATGAAGCTGCTTTTCTATTTTCTGACTAATATAGAAACGCGGCGTCTGATTACATTTATCCTGACTGGGGATTTTTTTTTTTCTGAGAAAGACACGAGTAAGAAGTAGTATCAGTAGTACTTACAGGGCGGTGTGGCTCGCAGGATCGGTTTTCTTGAAACACTACCACAAAAAGTGAAAAAGGAAAGGGAAGGGGAAAGGAAAGGAAAGGAAAGGAAAGGAAAGGAAAGGAAAGGAAAGGAAAGGAAAGGAAAGGAAAGGAAGAAAGGGAAAGGAAGAAAGGGAAAGGGAAAGGAAAGGAAAGGAAAGGAAAGGAAAGGAAAGGAAAGGAAAGGAAGAAAGGGAAAGGAAGAAAGGGAAAGGGAAAGGAAAGGAAAATATAGGGAAAGGAAAGGAAAGAAAAGAGGCAGAAGTGAAGGAAAGGGAAGGGAAGGGAAGGGAAGGGAAGGAAAGGAAAAGGAAAGGAAAGGAATGGGGAAAGGGAAAAAAGGGGAGGAGAGCGCGAGTAGGAAAGGAATAGAAAGAAAAGAAAGGAAGGTAGGAAGGAAGGAAGGAAAGAAAGGAAGGAAAGAAGGAAGGAAGGAAGGAAAAAGGAAAGAAAGAAAGAAAGAAAAAAGAAGGAAGGAAGGAAGGAAGGGAAGGGAGGTGAAGAAGGAAAGAAAAAGAAGTAAGGAAAGAAAGAAAGAAAGAAAGAAAGGAAAAAAGGAAGAAAAGGAAGGAAGGAAGGAAAGAAAAGGAATGTAGGAAGGAAGGAAGAAAAGAAAGAAAGAATGAAAGAAAGAAAGAAAAAAGGAAGGAAGGTGAGGAAGGAAAGAAAAAGAAGTAAGGAAAGAAAGAAAGGAAAGAAGGAAGAAAAGGAAGGAAGGAAGGAAAGAATATATATTATATATATATATATATAAAATGACCCAGACAATACACTGTTTATTAAATACTTACGTATGTTAATAAAAAAAGAAAGATGAACATTTGGGGCTTTAGGTTCCTCTTGGCCCAAGGCCCTGGCGAAAGGAAGCCACTCGCTCTCGGCCACTCCTTCGCCCAGATGTTAGGCAGATGTGAAGCCACCGCCCCAGGCCCATTCCCTACCTGAAGGTGCTGCATTTGGGCAGGAAGGGGGGAGCAATTAGGAAGTCCGCCTGGGGCCAGGAGGTGGATGACGGCTCCTTCCTGCTGGGTGTGTGGGTGTTTATGTTTGTGTGTTTGTGTATTTGTGTTTGTGTTTGTACTTATATGTGTGTTTGTGTTTATGTTTATATTTGTGTTTGTGTGTTTGTGCTTGTGTATTTGTGTTTGTGTTTGTACTTATATGTGTGTTTGTGTTTGTGTTTATGTTTATATTTGTGTTTGTGTGTGTGTTTTGTGTGTTAGTGTTTGTACTTATATGTGTGTTTGTGTTTGTGTGTTTGTGTTTATATTTGTTTGTTTGTGTGTGTGTGTTTGTGTGTTTGTGTTTGTACTTATATGTTTGTGTTTGTGTTTGTTTATATTTGTTTGTGTGTGTGTTTGTGCTTGTGTATTTGTGTTTGTGCTTGTACTTATATGTGTTTGTGTTTATATTTGTGTGTGTGTGTGTTTTGTGTGTTTGTGTTTGTGTAAAGGGATTCAAGCAAGAGCAGCACCTCCTGCCGTCAAAGCCAACTTGGAAGGTTGTTTTTTCCTGGGAGAGACTTGGGTTTCAAAAGTCAAGGGCTGAGTCACCTTCAGACATCCGAAAGGGCCGATGTAGAATTGATGGCGGAAGGAAATTGGCCTCTGGCTAGAAAAGGGGCCACCTCTTAAAAATGGGAACAAGCCCCTCCCGGGTTTTTCCTCCCTCACCCCCCCACCCACCCCCACCAAGACAGCCTCCAGCACTGCCAACGCCTGAATTTTGGCCTGTAGAAAGAAGGGCCACGTCCTCTTGTGATAGGGGAGGCCTCCGGAGGGGCAATTTTTGTTTGAATTCTACCGCAATTTGTGTAGATTTCAGCCCCACAAAGCTCTAATTACAGGAGTCAGTCAGCCTGCCTATCTATCTATCTATCTATCTATTTATCCATCTATCTATCTATCTATCCGTCCATCCATATCTGTCTGTCTGTTTGTCTCTATCTATCTATCCATCCATCCATCAATTATCCATCCATCCTTCTATCCATTATCTATCTATCTATCTATCTATCTATCTATCTATCTATCTATCTATCCATCCATCCATCCATATCTGTCTGTCTGTCTGTCTGTATCCATCCATCCATCCATCCATCCATCTATCCATTATCTATCTATCTATCTATCTATCTATCTATCTATCTATCTATCTATTTATCTATCTATCTATCTATCTATCCATCCATCCATCATCCATCCATCCTTCTATCCATTATCTATCTATCTATCTATCTATCTATCTATCTATCTATCTATCTATTTATCTATCTATCTATCTATCTATTTATCTATCTATCTATCTATCTATCTATCTATCTATCTATCTATCCATCCATCCATATCTGTCTGTCTGTCTGTCTGTATCCATCCATCCATCCATCCATCCATCCATCTATCCATTATCTATCTATCTATCTATCTATCTATCTATCTATCTATCTATCTATCTATCTATCTATATCTATCTATCTATCTATCTATCTATTTATCTATCTGCTTATCTATCCGTCCATCCATATCTGTCTGTCTGTCTGTCTCTATCCATCTATCTATCCATCCATCTATCCATCCATCCATCATCCATCCA